TAGAAAAAATAGAATCAGCGTCGAAGTTAAAAGAGTAAGAAAAGTTAATTATTGTTTATGTTATAATCAAAGAACGAAATATCAATGATAAATTCATACTGCCCGATGCAAATAATGAAAGCGTGTTGCACTTTCTTATAATAACCTAAATAATACGTAAAAGTAAAAATTAAACGGGGCAAATATAGATTGGTCTGTGAAAAGCAATACGGGTGGGTGTCTTGGTGTATATTTTCGTTTGGAAAAGATTTAAAAAAAACCTTAAAACATCCAAAATATTCACACTAGTCACTCGAGATGGTTTTGCGAAACCCATAACGATGTCTAACTTGCGAAAAAATACTACATACCAAAATTTTCACGAGCTATGAGAAATTCGTCCATATCCTGCGATTATTTTAGAAAAAACACATGTATTAGCTACGATACCCTGCAGGTTTTTTGTTTGTTTGAACAGCCATTTGGTTTAACGTATTTATAATGACTAACGTAGTTATTATTGCTTTAAGCCTGACTTTCCCTTCAGTTGTCATTCGGGGTCTCCTAATCACACCAAGTAAGAAAATAACAAACTGATTATACTAAATTAAATCATCTCTGACCATAACATATTGTTGGTCCTTGGAAAGATACAATCGTATTTCCTGTCCTTAATATCAATCAATTTTTCTACTCTCCACGTAATCCAGAATAGAGAAATCCGGACTGCCTCAAAATTATTTGTTAAATTATTATACTGATCTGTTGTTCTTGTTTCGTTTTTTTGTAAATGCGAGGTATATTTTGAACAATGATATATTTATGAAGTATATTTGAGCAATGGTATTTATGTATCAATGTTTCATTCAAACGGCACTTAAACACTTCAATTGAAATGACAGGTTATGAACCGTTTTCCAATCCCCTCACTCCCCCCCCCCAAAAAAAAAACAACAAAAAAACAAAAAAACAAAAAACAAAAACAAAGAACCAACAAAAGCAAACTTTGGAATCTCGAATCGCTTCGGCCAATATACTTCTTTGATAGTGACCGCCGGATACACAATCTGCCATATGGCCTTCAGTCCTATGACTTTTTTGCACTGTGAATTTGCAATAATAAAAAAAAAAATGGGAAGTTTGTAATGATAAGAACAATCACGCATGTTAGGATGACGAAATGGTATTCCACTATCCGGAAACAAAAATACATTAGTACATTTACACCACATCGTTGAAAGTAATTTATTTACTGATCTTATCATAACCTACAAAAAATTGGTGTTTCAATTTACAACAGTTTTATAAGTGGGTCAAAACTAATCGTTTTCTAAAAATACTTTTAAAGCTCAAAGGATATAATAATTTCGATTATTCTTATCTGAAAGTCATAAAGAATATTTTTTGTTTGCAATGCAAAAATGTCGATGACATGAAAATTCAGCTTTTAACAAAACAGTAGTAAACACATTAGGATAATTATGGGCCTATATTTTACGGCTTTCTTTACTTTTAATGTTCTTTACAAACTAAATTGTAAATTTGAATTTGACAGAAATGAGAATAAACACTTACGAAGCCAAAAATAACCAAAAGTACTCCTTTAACTTAATTACTTTGCTTAAAGTTCAGCGAACTTTATATCCAGGTAAAAATGGTTGTATATATTATGAAGAAATGCTCTCGGCATAATAGTTATCGTAAAATTTTTGAAATGTACTTCAACCTAACAAATGGTTTGTCACAGATCGAGAACATTACGATGATAAAGTAAACTTAAAACAAATTGAAATCCATTGTAGATTACTGACTGCATTCACTGTTTCCTTAGTTTGAGGTCCAAATCCTTTTAATAGGGAAATATTGTGTCTCAAGATAGAGTGCAAACAATGTTCTGCTTAAGGCGACTAGCTCTACGCTAAGGCATAGTGAATTTTGCAAAGGAGTAAGGTCAATTTCCCCTGACTTTATTTCAAGGCATTTTTCAAACGGTCTTTCAATCTTTACTTAAATTCTAAGGCATAGCTCCATTTTAAGGCGGTCACAAAAGAAAAATAAAAAAAAAAGGTAAAGGAATAAATTTGTTCACTTTTACTTAAACAGAAGATCATAAGTGAGTACCTTAAGTTTCATGAATAAGTACAACAAAAGAAAAACAAAATAATGAACACTATATAAATAAATGCATGTCAATGTTGGGTCAAAATTTAGTATTTTTACGTCGGCATTCCTTCATTTCTCCATATTTATAGAAAAAAAATGGAAAGCAAGGATGTTGGACAAGGAACGCAACCGATTTTCTGAAGATCGTAGGTATTCTTTTAAGGGCCCGACAAAGCTATCAAGAAAGCTTATACTTGTTTCTAGACGCTTTCACCCCTTGAAGTGTAAAAGGTATAACACGCTATATTGATTAGACAGTACACTAGAACGTACAGAAAAGACGCAAGGTACAATGTCAATGTAGGCTGACTTATTACAGAAAAACGCGCTCATAGCATACAAATATAAACGATATACACTGGCATCTATGTAAGCCACATATAGACGTAAAGGTGGAAAGTTGTCTTTAATATTGGTACATATATCTGCATTGTACTCGTTGACCAGTAAACCTTTTTTTTATGAAAAATTATAAAGAATTGCAAATTTCATAAAACATTATATGCAATGGAAATAAAATAAGAATCAAAGAAATCTAATACTTTAATAATTACTTAACCTTACCATCGGCTGTACAGAACTGTGCAATTCCTCTGAATAATTACTGTTTTACTTTAATATCGATCGCAACTTTTCCTTATAGCACGAAATGGAAGATGATACAGATGCAACAGAACGTTCTTCGTTCTTGATCTACACCAACGTATTGATGAAGTGAACTTAGAGACACTTGACCTACACCAACGTATTGATGAAGTGAACTTAGAGACACTTGACCTACACCAACGTTTTGATGAAGTGAACTTAGAGACATCTTCAATTTTCCTATTGTGAATTTTGCAAAGGAGTAAGGTCAATTTCCCCTGAATTTATTTCATATCAAGGCATTTTTCAAACGGTCTTTCAATCTTTACTTAAATTCATGGTATCACAGCCCAAAAATTGAACTTTAAGGTTCTAAAAGTGTTCCAATACAATGGCTTATTTCTAAGCGGCTCATAAACTCCTGAAAATCGCCCACAACCGCAATATTGAGAGAATTGGCAAATTTTGAGTACCTACCCAAAAAGGTATAAGAATACTGTATTCCAAAACCGAAAAAAAAGTAGTAAAAGCTACATGTATGTATTGTCTTTCAATACAAATTAATTCATTTTGGTAAGATATGTCCTTCGATGCAAAATACGACAAAAACTTTGTATTAATGCCTTCAACAGCAACATGTTGCGCTGATTAACTGTTTGATTTTATTGAAACATGTAAAATTGCGATATCTAAGTTTATGATAAGTAAGTAAGTAAGTAAGTAAGTAAGTAAGTAAATTTTATTTAGAGTCGGCATATATATATACATAATAACAGACAAAACATGAGCTCTGGTGAGCTCTTTAACCGACTATCACATAAAAAATCATGCAGCATCATGCAAATACTAATAAATAAAAATGAAAAATATATAGGCTCTTTAATAAAATATAATTTTTAGTTGGCTTTTACAATTTTTGATTTTGACCCTGTGGATGAAACAAATATAGGGGGATTTTACCCTACTACTTCTTTTTTAGCGACTTAAACAAAACTTGCATATGAATAAGATTTCTCCCAGTTGATAATTTATTCCAAATATTGTGTTTCATGTTATGTTTTCTTTAATTTGATAGCGAGTTCCTGCCTGGAAATTTAAACAAGCTTCAACCTACATTTGTATTTCAAATGTTTATGGACATATTTCATTTAACATATCCACTTCCTCCTTTTCTCGTTTATTTCTTATCAGCGTAAAAGACTTATCACCGGGTGACCAGAAACACGATGGATGCAGCTACTATTGGAGCAGGAATAGCTCATACTTACGGAGTACTCGAGTTCGTACTCGGGTTAAACGGGGTACAGATTAGCGTTAGTTTTCCGTTTAATAATTTGTCGAAATATTGTTTTCCTACGCCTTTTTACATTTAGACATGGTAGCATCTGTCCTTCAACTTATGACTTTACTTTTAATGTTAATACTTGGTACGTGAATATTCATACTTTTTAAAAATCAATCAAATTGTTGCATTGGACATAAATATAAAAGAAATAACGTGAATTCATAATTTTAAATTTGCATTAGTCATTAAGTAAGGTAAACATATCTCAAAAATAAAAGGAAATATCTAACCAGTAAGAAAATTGATAAATCAAGACCATATAAATTTGACATAAACATACATAAAATCGTGTAAAAAGGTTCTTTAATGACGTCATTCTAATTTTTTTTGCTGTTTATATCAAATAAATTAGGATTCCCTTTTAATTGTATGAAGAACTTATAGTTTCATTACATTGAAAAGGTTAATTTGACGTTAACATACATGTACAATGCGACGAATAAATTTAAATCTTGTTGTCACTCATATAGTATGCTTATTTTTTCTTCATCTATTGGAAATCATCAACTGCAGGGAAAGAACAAATCATGACATATTGATGTTAAATAAAAAGAGTTTTTATGATGTCCTCATTCACTTCAATGTACTTTTATCTAATTCGATCAATATCTTTAACAAATATGGAAATGCAAAAATTTTGGTGCATCTGATCAAAAAAATTTAAATAATAAAACGAGAAATGATTTTCAAGTTGACTGCAAGCTAATATTTCTTCACGTGGAATCGAAATCTGCAACAGTTTTGATGCACCAGAATGCTGAATTTTACTTTGAATACAGATAATGATTTTTATTGTTAGCTTAATTCTGTTTCATATTTCTTTGCAAAAAGGTCAGGGAAATCTTGAGTTTTGTATCCTTGTAATATACTTTGTAGATGATATCAATGCCAGTTTTTTTGTTTGTATATAGTTTATTTCAAAAATTACCTTCATTTTATTGGAAATCTTTAAGCAGTATGGAAGAAATTGCTAATTTTAGTATAATAATCATCTACTGCATGTAGTAAATGATTCGTTTGACTTAGAGATGTGAAAACCTAATCATTCATAAGGCATGCTAATGCTTATTCATAACTATGATATTTAGATATCTTCAACTTGTATGAAAATTTAATAGTTTTGGTACATTTATGCAAGAATGGTTACTTCGATATCAAGATGCAAGAAATAATGTGGAAGTTTAAATTCAGGTTGTGATCATTCATTTAAATATTATTTTTTTCATTTTATTGGAAGTCTTCCATAGGTAGGAAAAATTGATAGTTTTAATTTAGTACATACGAATGGTAAAACTGACATAAAGATACAATCAAATTGTGAAAGCAACTTTAACTTTTAAAGGTCACGTTTGATAAAGAAACTTAAAGGTTATTTTATCATACATGTATTTTATCTTTTTCGTTTGACCTTTCTTCGATCTAATGATTTAGCCTAAACACCCTCTTTGTACTTTCTCCCCTATTTTTATCGAGACTTCTGATCAAGTATATCAAAAAAAAAAAATGTTTTAACATTTAAATAGTAACCAATAACATATTAATAAACTTAATTTTCAACTTCATTCGTTCATTATTGACGTTTATCAATTCCTGATTTTATTGTATAACACAAATATTTACTGAAAAAAAATCGTTTATTTTGTAATCATTCATTAAGTATTAAATCATGAAGACAATCTTTCACTAATTTACGGTAAACCTTATGTCTGTAAGGACTAGCTACAGATTTAATAGATAAGAACGGTAAATTTGACTTAAAGATAAAAAAAAAAACCCGCTAGGCCAAATTGAATAAGTAATTTTACTTTGAAATCATACCCGATATATAAACACAAGGAGATGTATTAATTTTATTTTGAATTCATGTATTAATTTTATTTTGAATTCATACCTGTTATATAAAAACAAGGAGATGTATTAATTTTACTTTGAATTCATACCTGTTATATAAAAACAAGGAGATGTGGTATGATTGCAAAAGAGACAACTATCCACCAGAGTTAAAATGAAATGGATGTACATTGTAAGAAACTATAGGCAACCGTGTGGCCTTCGATAATGAGAAAAAAAACCATACCTTATAGTCGGCTACAAAAGGTTCGACATGAAAAAAGTGAAACAATTAGAACGAGAAAATCAGCGGCCTATTTTATAACAAAAACAAATACGACAGACATGAACCATCGACAACCACTGAACTACAGGCTCCTTGGGACAGGCACATAAAGAATATGGTGGGGTTAAACATGTTTGTGAGCTCTCAATCCTCCCATAACTTAGGACAGTGGTATAACAACACAACATACGAACAAACTGTAAAAATCAGTAACAAATCGCTAAACTCAAAAGATCGGTACGAGGCACAAAACAACTTACATAAAAACAACAGAAACAAAGCACCGAAATAATAAGACAAGTCACTGTAAGTACATTTTGAAGTGATCGCATAGATGTAATAGACCCCATTACACTTATAAAAAGATGGATCTTTCCTGTGATCGATTTTTTAAATTAGTCGGAAGAATCAAAGATGGCGACTGAAGTACATTTTAATACTCTTTGCTTTTCAAAATATCAACCAAAAAAAATGTACCTATTAATCATAAATGTATAAACAATATTTTTTCAAAGACGGGTCAATTTTGCGCACAAATGTAAACAGATCTTTGTCAAATTTAAGTTTGACATTTCTTATCATTCATCAAAGGTGCTTATTTTTCTCAGAAATTTTCGATCTATATGGGGAATGGTTTTTTTAATATGACTTAAAATCCTTTGAATAAAGTTGTTATTTAAGAAAGTTATTAATTTAACTTTGAACATAGTCTTCATCGATACTAAATGTAACATCGATTCTGTTTTAAATAATTCAGATATGACAAGATATGTATGGCTATACAGATACGAACACTTTTAGTCCTACCTCCTGTTTAAACTTTTATTTTGGCATTGCACAAGACCAAACTGTTTTCAGTCATTACAATAAACTAAATTGGATATGTAATGCTTGAAATTTTAGTCTGGGGAAACATATTTATTAGTTTGAAATTGTCTTTGAATTAGCTTTCAGCAACAGCGAGTGCTCTTATATCGGTAACTTGGAATTTGTCTTTTTGTGCTTAATGGCGGTCTGACGAGTCCAGCATTTTTCAACTGTTTTTTTTTTAGTTTGTTGTTACGTTGTGGCGTTATACCACTGTCTCTGGTAAGGGGAGGACTGAACGCTCACAAACATGCTCTTGTTCTTTGGTGGATAGTTATCTCATTTTTAATCATATCACATCTCCTTATTTTTATATGCAAACAATATGTAATCTTAACTTTGTGTCAGTCATATAGTATGCTAAGCTCCGCACAGTTTAGTAAACATCTTCAATCAGTGGGAAATAGAAATATTCTTATTAGTAATATTCCCTCCAATTTAAAAAATTCTCCGGAAACATATGTTAGTTTTTATTCCAATTTTGATTGGACAACGCATGCCGCCAATTCAACAGTTGACGTTCGAATTCAGTGTAAACAACGCTTCGCAACCACAATCGACATTTCTGAGATATTTACAATTTCCAATTTTTAATACTTTCGTTCTTTGAATTAGAGTAGAAAGAACAGTGCTGTACTGAAAGAGTAGCCACCATCATTTTGGGATTTGACGATGGGAAATCTTCAAATACAGTTTAAATATGCCGTACATCTGTCAAATATAAGTTTGTAACTTTGTCGAGAAAAGTTTACCTAGGTGGTTTAAACTGTTAGTTTCATCCCTCTTTTTGGAAATGTACATATCGCTTTTTGTTTCTGGTGGTTCTGATCGCTGATCGAGAGTCGTGGAAATTATCGTATTGCACGTGAACAAACTTGTTTTTCTCGTATTACTTTTAAACGATTTGCAGGAACATTATCGTTTTTCAATGATCTGCAAATTCTTTTTGATTTATCGGTCAGATGTCATTCGCTTTTCGTCGCGACGTCACAATAGCAAAAAGACTGCGAATAAATTTGACATCATTGACCAATGAAGGAACCACATGGGAGAGGAAGAGAAACGAACATCACAAAGCTTAGAATATGGGAATTATATGTATATGTTATATTTGATACAGTTGAATTCTCGTAGCTTAACATCGTTTCAAAGAACCAAGGAAATACTATATTGACATATGAAAAGATCCACAGATTTATTTTTGTAAAATTATTTGAATAAAAGGCTATTTTTGACTATTTATGATTCTCATAAAAGAACGAAGTAGACAATGAGTAATGTTTACTAACCAATAAAGATATAAATGACTCTTGAAAATATAAAAAAACAACATATAAGTTACATCTATACAAGACAAAATCATTTACACAATTACAGTATAATCTACAATCAAAATAATTCGGAGGTTTCGGTAATTTAACGAGAAAATATGATAACGGAGATGTATTATAGCTCCATGGAAAAATCTTTAAGAAATAAAATTAATTCTGACAATTTTTTTTAAAACAACCAAGATTGTTTTTTGTTATTTCATTGAATAAACTCATCAAATATACCAGGATTAAAATTTTGTACGCCAGACGCGCGTCTCGTCTACAAAAGACTCATCAGTTACGCTCGAATTAAAAAAAGCTCAAAAGGCCAAATAAAGTACGAAGTTGAAGACAGAGTAAAATAAGCTTATCTGTTGATACTCAAGCATTGTTTTCAGTTATATCATTTCTTTCATTTGTTAAAAACTTTAAACACTTTCATTGCTAAGTCATTTAGTATTAACTGCTTTCCATAGTTTATGCTAGCGTATTTCCCGTTGGGATAACTGTGACCTGAATATGCATGGTATATTGACCGATTATAGACGTTTCAATATATCTCACACGAAATCGATATAACAAATGGTATTTGCATTTTATTTTTGCATGTTATTTTTTTTTTATTGAATTTGGTTTATTCCTTGATACTATATATCGAGATAGTCGAAATAATAAGTCTTCTATGAAGACAAGAACAACTTTTCGATTAATTGGATCTTGTGATTGAAGAATACGACGACAAAGGCATGCTAGGTAAAGTATCAAAACAAATACTATCCACTTTTAAATGTTTTTTTCCCAGTATTCCTTTCGTAAATATGAGCTTACAATATTGGCAGCTTTCAACATGAAACTTTAATGTCTTGTTAATTGCGCATTTAAACACACACACACAGCCAAAGGTACTGTGTTCTTTATTTTAATGTACTTGTTATCTGCCTTTGATTGTTGGTAAATGGAAATGGAAAATAAATGGAATATTCGAGACTTGTTAATAGGGGTAAGGAACGGAAGAAGTGAAAGAAGTGTATTAATTCCTTAAGTTAAATGGAAAACAATTACACACTGGTTTACAAATATCGTCATTCACACTATAGTAATTGGATTTCATGAATTTATCATGTTTTTCCATGAAAAAGCTTATATTGCTGAACGATCCCCTTCCTAAATACCTGAAAGGTATAATTTTGTATTTAATCGTTATACCATGGTGTAAATTATATACATCATATCTTATATAATTCTATAACAAATTCAATCCTTCGTTGTCAAACAAGACTTTATATTAAGTCTTTGAGATCATTTTACGTGACGGATATAAGGTTTTAATAATATTTTGTTTTCCTTACTTAAAAGTTGGACAATAATTCTTTCACTTATCATGCATTTTTACCAATCAGCTTTTTTCAGAAAAATCTTGAGCCCCGTTTCGAAGGTGAGCGATGAAATTAGTTTCCATAATTGTTACAGAACCATCTTACAGCGCCATCACATCCAGTGGCAAAATGAGGCATTCACGTGTTTTCAAAATTAATAAAAGATATCTTAACTTTTGGAGTAATATAATAATTTAATTTTTTCATGGTTAGCTTACTTTAAACCTGAAAGATCGAGAATACATTTACTAAAATTATTTTT